CTTGAGGAGGATAACGTCGCTATTCATTCTACGATCAGAGGTATGATGCACCAATTAAGAGCCAAAATGGTGAAGATGTGAGATGATGTAATGAGGGAGCTCCAAGATGTACAATATATCATGAAGAAGTGATGATCAAGTTGATCAAGTTTAGACTCAATTTGAGTCCAATTGCTAACATGCTTTCAACTATATTACTGTTTAATTCTAAAGTAGGTGCATGATATTATTGTAAAAGTATGTCATGTTCTAGTGTTTTGATGATACAAGAAAATGTTCATTCTATTTTTCCAGTAGTCAAATCATACATTATCTAATAGTGGTGGCTTATGAGTGGATTGACTTTCAGATAAATAATCACTAGAAAATCGTGTCATAAGTGATGTACTCTTAGGTGGCTAAACCAAAACTAATAGCCCTCACTCTAATACCAATTGAAGGTTACGGCACACCAAGAGGGAGTTTGAATTGATGTATAAAAAATTTTAATACTATAATTAAAAAACTTATCTTAAATGAGTTATACTCTGAGAAAAGTTTATGAAATTAAGATACATGAAATGTAAAGCAAAAAAAAAATCTTCACATGGTTCAGCCCCTCGCACTCAAAAAATCTCTTCCACACCGAGTGCAGATTGAGAAACCCTCACAATTCAAATCATAAGTTTACAATACAAAAACTTTCATAACATAATTTCAAATAGAAAAATAAAAAATAACTTTCAAATTCCACTTAAAACATGATAAAATAATTTAGCAATTCAAAATTTAAAATGAATACTTCAAGCAATCTCACAACCCATTGATCATCATACAAATACCTCATCGTTTGCAAAAGAGCTCACATATTCTCTTAAGCTTGAAGCTTCTTCAATGCGCTCTTGAAAATTCTCGCTCTTTGATGAAGAATAAAAATAAAAATTATTGCAGTGTGTTTTTTTTCCCATTAGCTTCTTTCTTTTACAAGGATACCCCTATTTATAAATATGATAATTTTATTTTATTATTGACAATAATAATATTATTAATCACGTTTAAAACTTTCAAAGAACAATAGAATACAGCTATTTAATTACATATGGTTTTAATATTAATACGGAATTAATACAAATACAAAATTTAAACAATTATAATCTATAAGGGTCGTTCGATATAAATAAAGGAAAATTAATTATGATAAAATCATTTTCTATTATGTTTATATTTATAATTTTAGAGTTTGCCATAGACAATAAATAATACATGACAAGGCATTAAAGTCATTCTATTTAACGCCAATGATATGCCTTTCAAATTAGTGCGTGCCGCTGGAGATAAACTAAAAACAATTCATATATGTGTTAAACTATTCCAAGAGTACATGCATCTCTTTCCAATGGGAAAAAAGAAATGAATGGAATTAAAAACGTTATATGTCATTAAAATTTTTGTAAGCGTCGTCATAAAAAGAAAAAGAAATCACTTCCTTAAAACTAAATGCCAATGAATGTATTGTATGGATTTAATGGAAACATCTGGCAGCCTTTTCGGTCAAACGTCCATGGCGAAAAAAATTTAATTTGAATTATTTCAAATTAACTTCTTAGAATAATTATAGGAAATACAAGATAATTAATTTTGTAGAGATTACATGTAATATAGTATATAATTATTATTTAAGGAAAAGTAGAAATGCATTACATAATTGATATTAGTAATGAATAGACTTTAATTGCAGCAGAAAGATATGTGATATTTCAGATTATGGTTTGCTACAGTAAAACAGCACGTGAATAGTATTTTTGTTTTAACTTATGTATATGCTTGAGGAGTAAAGTCGATTGTGATAATTTGCAAATATCTCATCAAAATATTATCATAAGTATACAATTTTGATCCCAGACGATATTCATGATTAATAGAGGAGAAAAAAATATATAAAGTATTTTATAAATTAAAAAAAAATTTGCATAACCTTAAACATTTTTTTTAATATAATGAATGCTATTGATATATATAATTTGATATTTATAAAACAAATAACTTTTAATGACATTTTAATGACATTACGATTAAGGATCAAATTTATACATATAAAATGAGTATAGATTTAATATATTGATTAAATAATAATTTTAGAAATAATACAAGCAATATGATATCTTGTAGAATATTTTAAAATAAGTTTTTATTTACTTAATGATTTTTAAAATAGTTACTAAAATTTAATAAAAATAACTAGTTAATATTAATTTATAATCATGATTCAAGTTGTAGATGTAAACTAGAGATTCAAACTTCATTCATACATATAATCAAGTGATCCTGAAATTTCTTCATAAGAAAAGATTAGTCTCACTAATCATTTGTTTTGTTATCATAAAAAAAATTGATTCAATATTTTCTTTTGAAGAGAAGTTCCATAAGCAAGTGTGGTGTAACATGATACTTATAGATGCATGTCACATCCTATTAGGTCATCCTTTGCAGTATGTTCGTTGCACATATCATAATGGCTACAGGAACACCTGCTCTTTCACCAAAAATAAGAAGCTTATTGTACTCTTGTCTTGGAAGGAATCTAAGATGCTTAATGATGAAGTGATAAAAAAATTTTCTTCAAGCCTTAAGAGAAGCATCAATAGGACTAACATTATTGCCCAAAAAGGTGATGCATTAGAGAGACTAATACCATACAAAGGGCAATACCTGCTGGAGCAATCCAACATCTCATCATGTAAGATAGAGCTACGGAGTCTCTGAGCCATTTTTGGAAGACCGTATGGAGTAAACTGGGTACTTAATTCCAATTCAATTGAACAGCGCACTCACGAACAGACTATTAAATAAGAGAGGTGACTCGCTACTCTGAAAATTTATGCATGTGTTTTATGGGAAATAACATCAAACTGTGAGATCCAGGTACTTCCACAGAAGAAAAAGAATAAGTTTATCCTACCTGGGGAGAACGATGTGGGTGTCACTACCGCCTTTCAGCGATATCAAGGAATCCTGTGGAATGTGAGAACGCGGGAAGGCCGAGATCGCGGCTAGAAAATAAATTATCGACTTGCATGTTTTTCTTTTTCCTTTTATTCTTTATTTCTTTATGTTTCTGATTTCATTCCTATTTTTTTCTTCTAATTAGACTATTTTTCTATCAAATAATTGTCTCTGTGTGTGTGTGTTTTTTTTTGTTGCTTGGACAAATTTTTGCTATTGTGTTTATATTTTGGAGACTTTGTTCTCCGTTTTATGTTCCTCGAAGTAATACATTATCTACCTTTTGCGAGCGATGTGTTTGTATCTTTCTTAGAAACAGGTGGTGGATCCTTTTCACCACCATACTTCGCCGTTTCATCGTTCGAACACTGTTTTCAATCCGGACAGCCGCTGAATGCGCTGAATCTGCTACCCAACAGCAGATTTCCCCTCATATCCCCTTACAAACACCATTAGCCCCCCATATTATCCTTCCCTTGCTATTCCACAACTACCTATCTGAAAAATTCCCTTCCTAAACACCTTTTAAAATCCATAGAATAGTATCTTAGCGCTTTCTTCCATATTCAAGTTGTGTACTCAAATCGCCACCAAATTATTTCCGTGGAACTATTTAGGCATTCTCCCAAAGAAAACCCAGGTTCTCTTCCTCTCCCTCATGCATTTTATAGTCAAGCTCCCTTTACTCTTTCAGATTCATGCTTCTATTTTGTTCTGCCACCAATATATTAGAACTACTAACTTGACAATTCATGAACAGCAATGAATTAAATGAAAAGAAGCTGCCAAAATCCTCCAACCTTTTAAAATTAATCATTAGATGGTTGGGATGAGTGACATAAGAGGACTGTTCAGTGACTTCAAAGGAGTAAATCAAATTGGTGTATAGTCATTTATTCATTCAGAATGGATCTTTTTATTCACTTGTCCATCTCAAGAATATACTCCTATTAGTAAAAGCAAATGAGTAACTTAATAAATTTGATATTGATCAAAGAGGATTAGTAGGAAATATATTTAAAAAATAAAAAATAGAATAAACATACTATCATGTCTTTTAAATCATCAAATATATCCTACATGCTGCTCAAAACTTTTCTAGCTGGGGAGTATACTAGTGCATTATCATAGTTAGTTTAATCAAACTCAGAGTAGCAAGCATTCAACTAACCTCTACAAAAAAATAAATAAATAAAAACTTATCCAAGGATCATTGTAGTTCATTCAAAAAAAGGATATTATTTCCAGTCATAAAAACGGTAGTATTAACAATTTTCAGTAGCATGCTTCTAAAAATTGAGTTTTAGAAACTGTATGGGTAACAAGGCATGTATATTTTTATGCCAATAAGAGAATATTTTGTCCCCTCAAATTTAGCTCCCAGTCAACAAAAAAAGATACCCAAAAAAACATGTATTTCAATACAATATGCACTGATGATTCTTTTTTGCGTCTTATGTGTTGACTTGGAGTTAAATTTTTAACTGGATAAAATATTAATATACTGATAAAAACTCTTATAAACAACCAGTCCCATTAACTGCTTGGTTGAGTGATATTGTCATCTAAGTGGATGTCTATGGTTCATATCCTACCCCCAAAAAAAGGGAAAATATTTGCGTACATAAGACGTACGCAGCGCTGCGTACCTCCAGGGGTTATTCAGGGAGTACAGGGGGGTTATATCGGGTTTATACCCCTCTGTAACTCTCATCGTGTAACCTCTTTGTAAACTACCTGTAACTTACAAATGAGTTTTGTGCTTCTGTAATTTCATGGGTACAAATAAGTTACACAGAGGTTACAAAGGAGTTACACAGAGATTACACGGAGGTTACAGGGGGTATAACCTGGATATAACCCCCCTGTAACCCCTGAATAACCCCTGACGTACGCACCGCTACGTACGTCTTATGTACGCAAATATTTTCCCAAAAAAAGACACTTAGAAAAAAATAATTGCATAAACTTTCAGCAATCAAAATTATGAATCAATAAGTATACCACTAATCTCAAACCTTTAGAAAATGAAAATGGCAAATTGCTCAGCAGGTCAGCACGCTGCATTTGTTGTTCGAATCTTGCACACTCTTCTTTGTGGTCATTCCAATGCAACTTCTGCCGAAGGTGAGACACAAGAGTTTAAGAATAAAGAAATATGTTAAAAGAAAACAACTATCCCATACTTTATAATCACGTCAAATTGAGATGGCATGGAAACAAACAAGATAACACAATAAATAACAATTTGGAAAGATTCGAGGATCAGCTTCAGGCATCGCATTCGCAATTCAAGAGGATAAAAAGTTCAAATCGGAGCTCGGAGCATCAAATTCAGCTATCGGCTTAATAATAAAAGGTAGTATGAAGTGTAAAACCCTGGTGCTGAGAAAGATACAGAAATTGGAGACCTGGTGATTTAAGGAACAGTAGCCGACGGCCCCGCAGTTGCCGCAGCGTCGCTTAGGCGTGCCGGGGACGCAATTGTTGTCCCTACCCTTTGCAGCACACTCCATGGCTTCCGTCTATGCAGACCCCGGGTTTGGAAAAATCCGTGAGGACAAATTTAAGAAGTAATTCTCTCTTGTAGAATACACTTATCTGATCAGAAATGAAATGAAAAAGAAGAAACGAAAATTAAGGTTACAAGAAGATGTACAGGGATCAAAGGTAACTTAGAATGATGAAGTATAATAGTTTCCAAAATTAAACAAAAAAAGAAAGAAAAGCAAGTTGCATAATATTTGCATATATAGCTCTCTTAATAAATACCATAAAATAGAGAGATTTACATATATGGTATAATTTATATGTCCAACACTTAAAACATATTATTAACATATATGATATCTTGGACTCTTAAATACTATAAAAATACCATCCAACTCTGACCAAGCCAACAATGCATGAACATTATCAATCTCCCCTTTTAGCCTGTGAATCGTGATTTGTCCATAAATCATACTTAATGAATGAAGTATAAGACAGAAGAAAGAAAAGAGAAGTGCACTATAATGAATAGTAATTTGAATTGTTGATTAGTCATTTTCTCGTGAAATGATCCACCCACTTATGGAGGAGGAAGTAAAATATATGAATTTAGTACAATATTTAGGTATTTTGTATGTATAGGCCTTTAGTTCTGCTACCCTATGACTCGATCAGTTGAAATCAGTCGGTCCTGATCGGCAAGTCCGGTTTGTTCAATTATGCTGAATCAAGGTTGTCGATTAGCCTATGATAGTCTTCAGACCGGCAATACTTAATTCAATCGGCCTAGCATTGTCAGTTTGTTATTTTAGTCGGGTTATTGACTATTGATCCCTGGACAAGGAATTTCTATCAATAGAGCAAGGTTAGGCTATCTGGTAGATGATAAATCACTGTAATATGATAGGTAACTCACTTCTCAATGAGGTGATCCTTCAGAATGCTTTATATGATTATGTAATGGTCGTGAGATGGTTGACAATGCTATGCTCTTTCCTTGTGTCAAGTTGTAATGAGAGATAGGTTGATGTCTCTACTTGGCTCGATTAGTCTTAATCTTTAGTTCGAATGGCCTGCATTTGGTCGGCCTCTGACCACAATTCAAGGGAGCTTGAACTAGTTAGTTAAGTCCTTCGGTATTTTGCTAGTGAACCCATAGTCTTTCGCTAGTGGACCCTTGGTCCTACGTCTGTGGGCCTTCCTTAGTCGTCTCTTTTTATGTTTATAGCTTTTTATAAATAGAGCATGATTATCGCACTTGTTATCACATTTTCTTTTGTGTCTATGTGCATAAGTTGGCCGATTCTTTAAAATTCTTTTTGGAGAATGCTCAAAAACCTTCGGATGATATCCCTTGCGCAGAAACGATGAGGAAGGTCTTGGGACTATTTGCATCGCAGTTCAGTTCTGAAGCAAAAACAAGCCTAAAGGAGAGAATGCTCTTAAGGGAAAGAAGAGGCATGAATGAAAGAAGGGGCCCGAGGACGAGAAGAGGCCAGAGGGTGAAGTTTGGAAAATGGAGTTGGCTTCCAAAAAGCAGAAGGTAGTCGAGCCCATAGATGAAATGGGGTCGTCCAACTCTCTCAATTCCTTCGGCGAGAGAAGGATTAGGCGGAGGATAGAAGTAGCATGGATGACCAGGATACATGCACATCGACCCAGTCTTTTGCTTAAGTCCATGTCTGGCCAACTGGTCCTCCTACAGGAAAAGCCGTTGGAGACCCTTTTATCTAGGTTGCATGAAGCAGTTGGTGCTTTGTTACTGATAAAGGGATAGAGGACTATGGCATCTATGTTGTTGTCGCCTGGTGTCATCATTTTGTTGATTCAATGGACTAAGATGGATCGACTCCTTGGTATGAGGAGACTCTATCTTTGCAGTTCGGAAAATTTTCTCCATTTTTGCTGGCACTTGTTCTTTGATGTATAAGAGGTGATCCAGATTATTGGCTCACCTCTGGTAGACAATGTTTTGGATCCGACCCCAAAACCGGTTGAGAAAACTCTGGAGATGGCCATGAGTGAAGAGAATGTAGTAAGTGCTTGACCAGCCCACTTGCAACCCAAAGAAAGGAAACTGATAGGTGGAAGATGTCTTCTGGGTTGTTGACTCGTTAACTGATGAAGATGGAGGACTCTTATCCTCAGATAGTTGGTTACAGAGGGAGGAAGAAGTAAAAGAGTAGCGTGAGGAACTGGTGGCCCTTTGACCAGAACTGGCAGGTGTTCAGGAAACTTACTTGATGTTCTGGATACCGGCTGAAGTCGACCAAGTAGATGGGTTTAAATTTGGCAGTGAGGTATTATACAAGAAGCTGCTTGGGACAATGGGTTGTCTCGGTCGAAGCAGGGAATGAAAAACTTGTAAAATACTTCCTTTTTGAATAAATTATGAGTTTATTATTTTTCAAAATGGAATTTAAATTCTATCATTATTTCTCTTGAGTATTGTGTTGATATGATGCACTTCTTGAAAATTGAGGTATGATTTTTGTGATAGTTCTACTCCCCTTAGCACCCTATATATAAGGGTTAAGGGTTGGATTTTGGTGTCTCACTCTCTGACTTCTCTCTCTTCTTTTTCTTGATTTTTTTGTTCCTCCTTTCTCTCATTTGAATGGCTCCAAAGTATTCATCCAGGCTCTTTAGGTTGATTCCAACACCTGATTGGTCAATCCTATTGTCGTGAGAAGTGTCTTTGTTGCAAGACACTTTTGTTTTCAAAGATGTTTAACTCTTGTCAATCGATGGGTATGATTGAACAACCAACTTGTTCAAAGAAGATCTCATCTTTTATAGTGATCAATTCAAATGGGGCTGTTGACCTCACTTTTGATTGAGGTCTAGAAAA